ATATTAGTTATTATTATATATTATATATTATATATATATATATATATATATATATATATATATATATATATATATATATATATATATATATATATATATACATATATATACATAAATATATGTGTGTTTGTGGGGTGTGTGGGTGTGGGTGTGGGTGTGTGTGTGTATATGTATAAATGTACATATGCACAACATACATTCTGAGTTCTAATCTGTGCCCCATTGTTGTATCCACAGGAAAATCAGGAAGTTTTAAAGGATAAGTACGAGCAATTGACAAAGTAAGTGAAACGTATTCAGATGACCCCTACTCTGTGGCACTGCCTTTGTTGTTGGAATATATGAACACGTTTCCGTGTAGATGTCCTATACCTTAAGGTCTAAACCCTATCCCTAACAACTCTGTGCGTTGCTGTAATGGATATACGTGCATGTGTGCAAGTTCTAAATGCAGCTGAGCCGGGAGGTATCTATACAGCACATGTCGGAGATATGCGGATAGCGAAAGAAAAGTAGCTCATGTAGTATTGGCAACCTGTGTGCTATGTTTGCAGGTTTGTTATATGCTTATATGCATATTAAGGTATCTGGAGGCTACGCACTCTCCTTTGGGTTTCCATGCGATTTATACTGAAGATTGTGCTTTGTTTTAAAGTAGCTTGTGTTGTGATGTAATCTGTGTGCTATTTTTGTAGGTTTGTTTTACTCTTATAGGCATATTGAGGTATTTGGAGACTGCACGTCGCGTAGGTATGCGCCTGTGCAGTTCGCTACTTCTATTTAGCAGTTCGCTACTTCTATTTATAGAATACCATCATTAGCGCCCTCTTTGGGGTATCCGTGCGGTTTTTTCTGAAGATTGTGGTTTGTTTTTTTATATAACTTCATGTGTTGATTCTGCATAGGGCTACTTTGTAAGATGCGTGTGTCCTTCTCCTCCGACCTGACAATACTGGTTTACATACTAGATACGTTCAGGCGTGTAGGTTTGCGCCCGTGCAGTTTGCTACTTCTATTTATAGAATACCATCATTCAGCTGGGTCTGTCACATTCTTCCTTTTCATTGCAAATACAAGCAGTTTGTATACGCAAAATCCTTTATTCGTGAGAAGCATACATGTTAGCAACCCCCGTAACTAAACTTGGCCTAGCCCACGTAGTAGTACGTATATATTAAACTATCGGTAGGATGCAAGCATACATAACTGACTATACATGCTTGCATACACAACTTCGGCTAATACATAAGCCCGCGCCTGTACTCCCTTACACAGATCAGGAGAAGGGGGCGCTCCTCCGCTGTTTGCGTCGTTAGACTACCACACATTCGAGTCGTTGGCGTTTGAGCATCACACACAACTGGATGAACACCACGCCCGCCATCTGGTGCGCCGGTTTGAGCCCAAAATACAGCCCGGAAGTGGCTTTGGTCCATTGGCTACCATGGAAGTAAGTGGTGTATGCAAGCGTGTAAGATATATGTAGCCCGTGCAAGCATGTAGGTTATACATACTTACATATTCTGATGATTTAAGTAGCACGTGCACGCATGTAGGTTATACATACTCGGACATATTCTGGTGATATAAGTAGCACGTGCAAGCATGTAGGTTATACATACTTAGACATATTCTGGTGCGCAAGTTCCAGTCCAAGATACAAACTCGCAGTGGTTTCGGTCGTTCAGAAACCACCGAAGTTGTGCGATATACCTGTATACTGATCACAAAACCCTAAAACCCCCCAAAAAAACCCCTAGGCGCTGGTGTATTCTCTTGCATGAACTCGCATACTTTAGGTGCGTCAGGGACACCTCTCTCCTTAGAGAACTTTGCGTATATGTTTGTACTAGCACACGGGAGAGTATTCGTGTCTATAAATAGATTCACAGACGGGTGACACTTCCGCAAACAATACATATCCGTTGCAATCTGATTTCCTGGACATCGCATTTGATTGGCTGTCGCCTCGTTGTATGGCCGGGGTGTGATGTGCGGTATTGTTCACAACAGTAGAAATATAAGCTTCGCGAGATTGCTTCTTGTCACAGGGAAGGCCTCAGTCGACTCGATACTGAGCCCCGATTGGGGTCGAGGGTGGGCATAGTACATACACGTGGATCTACCTCTCATACTGAGTATAAATTTAAAATATATGCACATGCGTGTTTGCTCATTGCCCAGGTGAACGATTATTGCCATGTGACTTGGGGAGAAAGCGTGGTATTCATCGGCATCATCGACACGTTGATAACATTCGAGGGCATTAAGCAAGCAGGTATGTCGTACACCCTGTCCCATGTCATAGTGGTCTTTAGCACTACTACTTATTCATAGCAAGTGTGTAGTTGTGTTCGAATATTCCTCACCCATACGTAATTAGTACAGACTAAGAGTTGTGTTCCACTGATGGTCTACTCCATATCGATCCAATTCAACATCTGCATCGTGTTGAGGGTGTTGAGGGTGTTGGTGTGTGCGATTATTGCCAAGCGCAGTTCGGTACCTCATCGTCGTTGGGTGATCTTGTTGGGCATACGAGATACAAAACAATCCTCTACTCTGTTTTGCTTTCTGTTATTTTGAATCGCGTGACTAGTTGTATTCGATAGCCGCTTACTGTTCTCACTACGCTGGACGTTCCAGTAACGCCATTTGTGTTTTTCATATGACTAGATTTCTTGCAAATCCGTAGGCGTATACCGTATATATAGCGTATGCAGTGTTCATAGTGTACATTTCAATGCTGTAATATCTCTGCATGTATATTCCGTTTCGAGTCTGCATACAGTCATAGGGGATTGAATTAATACTCCCGATGAGTATTCTACCGGTTCACTGGTCCTGTGTTTGTAGATGTGTGTGGTTCCTGGTGTATCGCAGCGCACTACATTTTCTCGGTACACACTCTGCGGAAAAACTTATTAAATCTAAAACTATTTGATATCTAAAACTATTTAATCCAACGCTGGCGATTGGCTTGCGCCGTGTTGACAGGTAATTCAGTTGTTCTTATTAACGGTTTTTCTGTCGTGAGCTTCTTCTAAAGTTGTGTTATGGCATATTCTCAGTCATATCCATATAAAGACATATATCGACTCACGTTCTATTTCGAATACAATATGTATACCAGAGCACCTAGTAAAAGCCGTTCTTCACCACAACAAACAAGTTTCGGTCGTGCCGCCACCGGAATACTGCAGCCGATTTTTAAAGTAAGTTGCATGACTCAAACTACTATATAGCCGAGTGTACAGGAATGAGCATATACAGACAATGACCACGGCTTACCATAAAACATCTTCTTTATCTGATTATACCATCCCATTACCATAAGGTAGGTAGAAAAATTGGGTACACACACTCCCCACTGCCATTAATCGCAAAGAGGGCTCTTGTCGCATGTTTGCAGTTGAATATCTTGAAGGGATTGTTTATCGGATACTGAATAATTGTGGCGGACCAATGTCCTGTACGGTGAACAAAATCTTATTATTGGTCAAAAGATGGCTCGTTCGCATTCTAAGCATGAGTTACAGCAAAGACCAACCCCACGGGGCATACACATATCAAAAGTCTTTAATTAATAAGTTTTTATTATTTGTGTCAGAAGCAAGTGTATATCATTGATAGATGGATACGGGCTTGCGAAAAGGGTGCTTACTGCGAAAAAAAAATGCTTGATCAAAACTTGCACACATGGTCGTATATGCTACAGATTCGTGCGTGAGAGAGTGCTGGATGGATTTCCTGCCAGTTCCGAACCGTCATCCGAACTATCCTCGAGTTTCAAGTCATTAAACGGCAGCAGTAATTCATTGCCGACAAGTCCGGGGACACAACACACTCAGATTAAACGTCACGGCAGAAAAATATCATGGTCCGCTACAAGTAACCACATGGTGGGAATTGTTGGTAGTAAGGATAACGTACACAAATGACAGCAGCGTATGTTTTTATAGACTTCGTTTGACTTAGAAGTAGATGAATAAAGAGGACAATATTTAACGAGCAAAAGGGGGGTTACAGTGGATGTATATACCGGCCTCTTTAACCACATCCGCCTTTGTTGTATCGAATTGGGCAGAATGGGCCGAAGTACTCTGCCCATCATATGAAAGGCATTCACACCATTCACACATGCACTTGAATTGCACTTGAATTGGACTGAGCATGTCTCTGGAGGGGAGAAGAAAACGGAAAGTCATCCCTCTCCTCCGGATCGATGGTTTCAGAGAGAGCCCTGACCTCCAGAGCGCCGTGGACGAAGTAGCTGTTTAGAAGACCAATCATCTGCTTTTCTTTGCAATTTATGTGTATCAACAGATATTGTAGACTGAAGACGGGTAGCTAAGCAACGGGATCGTCATGGTGTAGATTTTTTTTAGAAAAACAAGACGGGCCAGATATGCATTACATATTTAAAAAAAATATTATATGAGTCTACGACCCTACATACGCCCTACGCCCTACAGCCTACACAAGAGGCTACAACCTGTGGACAGTGTGGAGACAGTTGCACTGCTCACAGTTCTCTCAGTGCTTACTGCTCACTAGTCAGTAGTCATAGTACATATTTCGATATTATGCATCATTGCATATAATATGTCGACGTCCAGCCAGAGTCATTAGAAATACCTCTCTGGAGAGAGTCGGACGTCGGTAAACAGCTAGAGTCTACTTGAGAGACGCCGACGCACAACGCCCGAAGTTGTAATTTATAATTTTACAATATTCTAAATAAAAGTACGAGGCCGAAGGGCGGAGACTCTGAGCCTGTCTGAACTCTGAAATCTGAACGACAAGCTGACTTTCTGGTATAAGCGACAAGTGACCTCCAGGAGTCCAGGCTCCAGTCCTCCACAAAATAGTTTCCGAAATAGCGAATTCCGACCTGGCGATTGGCGCGGGCGCGAACTCGCCGACTATTACCGGGTCGAATAATATATGACGTATATCGTGCTGATGGCCTGACCTGTATTTTTTTTTAAACCACCAGTTGCAAGTAGCAACGACTATAAAATCTATATATGAGCCCAGCTGCCCAGGTCTCCTGGAATCCAGGACGCTCCGGCCTCCGCCCTCCAGTCACAAACCCAAGTCTCACAGTGATAGCAGATAGTGAGATAGACCACACTACTAGTCACCCTACCCCAGAGACTGAGAGAGGACGACAGGACGTCCAGCGCTCCAGAGAGTCCGGTCTCAAGTCTCCAGGCGACAGGCGCCAGCCGCCAGGCCTCACAGTCCGGCAGTTTGTGACTCTTTTGAAATGAGTCAGACACAAACATAAAATTTAAAGCATCCTGGATTCCTGCGTACCACAAAGTGGCTTGGCACATGTCAGAGTATATCCACATGTGCGAAACAATAAGTGCAAATGATAATCACATATTTTAAACTATTATTTTGTTGTATGAGTGTAGGAGTATAGACTGTAGCGACAATGGAGTATTTGAGTTGCAGACACTCGAGACACATCAGTCGTCAGCCTTTCATCACTCACAGTCACAGGTCTCGGTCCCTCTTGTCTCCCTCTGAGACTCTGTCTCGGGAGATACCAGGACTGAGGACTCAGGACTCAGGAGTAAGGTCTCTCAGTCCTCAGAGTCTCAGAGACTCAGAGTCGCAGACTCACAGTTGTCACGACTCACGAGTCACGACTATTTTATAGGTCATTTATTATTTTATGGAAACTCTGGTAAATAGTCTGGACTCTGGAGCTAACCTCAAACCGTACAACGTATTCCGAATAAATATACATTTACGCTAAACTTGTATTGCTTATGCGGTCCTTTGTATGCTCATAGGTGCAACTTGCGGGTCTAAACAATAAAGTGTGCATTATTTTCACGATAGGAACCAGTCCTATAAAAGAAAATAGGTAGGCCCTTCTGATCACAGTATAACCGTTATAGTGTTTTAAAATTGAATACGTATGCTCTGGAGTTTCTGGACTCTGGAATACTCTCAGGTGCAGCGGCGTGACCGTGTGGTAACGAATGAGATACTTAGAGTTGTAATTAGTAGAGGGCTCAAAAGTCAAAAGTCAAAGCAAAAGCCTCTCTCTACTCTAGAGAGTAGCGAGAGCAATCTACCTTTGAGAAGTACACTACGTGTGTTGAACAACTCTTAGCGTTGCACAGTGTGCACTGTGCAGTCAGTGTCTGCCAGTGTGTCAGACTGCCAGTGCGACTGTGCGACGTGTGTCTGGCCGTCTCCCGTCTCTTGTTCTGACTTCTTGATTGGAGTTGCGAATTGCTTCTTCTGCGTTCACGATTCATCAGAATTACGTATTCACGAAGCCAGTTTATGTACTGCCGGTTGCCTTGGTTGGTAAACGACGCCGACATTTGCCTAAACGACTTGCCCACACTCTTATGGGGGGCCGATGTCGGCGACATGTCAGGCCGACATATAACCAACCGACATGTACGACGTTTCGTGCCACATTCTGGCGAGTGGTGGTGTCGTCGTTGTCGGATACCAACTCAGCCGATTGCCGATTGCCGATTGTGTTTCTACTCCGTCTCTCTCTCTCTTGTTGTGTGTATTTACTATTTCATTTTCCAATACTCCAGTTGTCCACTCTATCAAACAGATACCGAATAATCAATAGTGACAGTATAAAAATTTAAAAAATGGGCACTCCATTCCGATAATTTATATATATATATGTTTTTAAAAGAAAATTTATCAAGTCTGGAGTTCTGTACCAACTATTTACGTTTTATTTTTATATTGTTTTTTGGTTTTTAAACAAACCAAAAAGGTGAAAGGTGTGCAAACTGCAAACTGCAAACTGCAAACGCCAAACTGCAAACTGTACAGTGCACACACAAGAAGAGAGAGTTCAACAAACTGCAAAGTGCAAAGTGTATTTTCAAAACTGCAAACAACAATTTGGGGGGGTTTTTTTAAACAAAACGTGAGTACCTCTAGAGGCACTATGTAGTTGATATCAGCGATATCATGAATTCATGATCGCACTGCCTTGGCCCTTGTGTCAGAGGCTTTTCCACACACAACAAGAGAGAGTTCAAAATTCGAATCTGTCTTCAACAATCGACGTTCGACATTGTGCAGAGAGTTGTGAAACCACAGGCCCACAACCAGGCATTTACTCATTACCTTATAAGGGCCCAGTCTGCAACCTCTTAGGCTCTTACGTGGCACATGTACAAATTAACTGGGGGCGCTATTCTGCGGTGTCAGTTGTCACCACTCACCTCTACAATGTACTAAAGCCATGCTACGTAGTACCTCCAACATATTATCTTGTAAATCGCAGATATTTTTAGTTTCGACTCCGGCACAAGCGAAACTCTGTATAAATAATCTGGACTTGGCGAGAGATTTGCTTACACTGCTATCTAGTTGTTCATCTATAAATCCGCATCATCATGTATTCAAAAGTCGTTACAGGCCTTTTGTGTCAGGCACTGTTTGTAGCAGGAGCCTCCGTGAATGTTGAACGTCGAGGAGAAACTAATCAAACCGTTGCGGCGAACAACGATGCTGAAAATGATGGAGTGATTACTATCAAGATGCAACTAGGGCCTCAGGCTCGTGGCACTAGTTGGTGGTCTTGGGCATTTGACAATGAGGATTGGAGTAAAACTCCTTATGTGACTGAATCCATATCGACAATATACGAAAGTAAAGTTGTCACTGCGGCCAGTATTGCAGGAGCGGCTCATCCAATTACATTTTCTAACGAGGCATTGAGTGTAAATGTGATTAACAACGAATGCTGGGTTTCAATCGCCGGATCAGGTGATGTCCAGGACTGGATTGATAACTTGAACCTCGGAACCGACGCTATCTACTACAATGGACAATACGTTGGTCGTGGATTTGATGGTTTTGTGAATGGTTACAACGAATACTTCTCATTGGGAATGAATGGAGTGGTTGATCAATCTTGTTCTGGAGTGTCAAAAATCAACTTCGTTGGGTATAGTCGTGGAGCAGGTATCGCCAACATCCTCGCGGCCGCTTATTACCAATTTAGTACTTATAATGTCGAGTTATATACGTTTGCATCACCGCGCGCTTTTGATGTGGCCACGTCTGACAGTTTCCATATGCGGTTCCCTCAAATACGGGTTATGAACGATGAAGATGTAGTGACTAGTGTACCTTTCAGTGCGTGGGGATTCAAACATATGGGTGACGTAGTTTGCCTTAACTGCCGTGAAACCGGTCGAAACTCAGAGGAGAGTGGCTCGATAATTGCACATCTGTTTTACAACTACGCTGCAGCAGTGAACTCACTTTTAGGATAAAAGGTCGGTCTGGTCGAGTGGTGAACGTTCAGTAATGTATACGTAGCGTGACGATCTTAAAACGAGCTATATAAGATTCTTAGCGAGAAAACTAAATCTTGGGCCACCATTTTACGGGTCTGGAGGTACATATTAAAAATAGTATAGTCTAAATAAAAGTCGATTGTAAAACTTCACCTGTTGTATACTGAAACTGTTGAATTTCATATATGATGTGAATCACAATATATTTTATTTATGCGCGGTGTCGCGATAGACATAGACTACAGTCTCAAGGCTTGAGTCATTGTGCCAGGCATAAATCAAACCCCTCAGCAGGGGGAAAAGAAAAGAAAAAGTCATCCCTCTACTCCGGTTCGGTTTCAACGAGCCCCATCCTCCAGAGAGGGACATGCATCAATGCATAGTATATGTTTTGTTATTTTATTTATGCGCCGTGTCGCGATAGACATAAACTACAGTATCAAGGCTTGAGTCATTGTGCCAGGCATAAGGGGGGGGGGGGGGAGGTCATCCCTCTACTCCGGTTCGGTTTCAGAGAGCCCCATCCTCCAGAGAGGGTCAGCATAGTATATGTTTTGTTGCGCCTTGCGAATCAAACACCAAATTAATAAAACGCGAATAATATATTTTCAAATTTGATCTATATGACATTAAAGTCAAGACTCGAGACTCGAGACGCCAACACAAGAGAGCCTTCAGTCGAGGACTCGAGAATCGATACTCGATACCGAAGACCGAGGGTAGAGAGTCAGAGACGCTCACCCTCTATTGAAGAGCGTATAAAGCTTACTGTATGTCTTTCGGACATTTAGGCGGTCCGATCAGGCATATTATGGTACTAACTTTTAGTAGGAGGTAGAGGCCTACCAGTAGAGAGGGCATTTGTGATGTGCTGACAGTCTAAACTGCTCTGTGGGTGGCAATTTTGAAAAACTGGGACTAAGGAAAGGAGTCGTGGTCACGTGGAAATCGGGTATTTTTATTTATTTTAGTGTGTGACTGTCAAGTCACATGTCGCAATTCGCACTGTGCAATTAACAGGACGCAGACGTTCGCGGTTCGCCGTGGAGTTTTTTTTGTTTTTTTGTTTGTTTTTAAAAAACAATAAATGTTTTTCACAAAATCCCCACGGTATTTGTTGTATTTTATTGTTTAGGATCTAAAGCGTAAATCTAGATTACCCTTCAACTCAGGGTAATAAGTAGTGCAAAACAAAATAGTAGTATTCCAATCAACATATCCAATATGAAAGTATTTTATATATTTTATGCATAATATTTAAAACCAGAAATATATATCTGTGTCCGGCTCTAGCCCTCAAACTCCCAGAGTATCTCCTACCACCCTCCAAAAAGTAATCAACTACAACTGTTGTTAAATTTGTCAAATATTTTACTAAATTTAGAAGGTAGAATCAAAATACAGGCCATTTGTTTTTCATTGCAAATTGTAAAATATAAACAAAAAGAGGAAAACAAAATAGTAGTAAATTTAAAAAAAAATCCCCATAAATGCATAGTGAGCTCTTGCCTCTTGGGCCTCCACTTGTCTCTCAGTGCTCACCATATATATTGTGTATATTGCTTTTTGTTCTAAAAAAAACAACAATGTATATTTAATTCAGAGGGGTACAGTAAATATTTATGTATTTATTTATGTAAATACACACTGGATGCCTTTTTTTTCTTTTTTTCTTTAAAACCCCTCAGAACCAAAACCCAATGATGACGAGCCCGACGGTCAGCCGTCAAACCCAATAAAACCTGACTCACAACTTCACAAGTCAGCTTTTTTTTTTATGAAAAAAACAATTTGGACTCGGGTCTTGGAGTGGACTGCACACTGCAGTGACTGCAGAGTCTGCACGCTGCACGCTGCACTCTACAGTGCTCTGCGCGTGTGCATAAATATAATTACATAGCTTGCTCGTTGAAAAGGCTGCTTTCTGTAGTCTGTAGCTGTTCTACCTGTGCAATGTGCAGTGGGCGGTCTCTACTCTCTGCTGCACAGCCAGCAGCAGAAAGGGCCTCTGGAGTCTGGATAGTGCCAGTCGTAGTGGAATAAGTGGATATTTACATCTTCAGTCTTCATTTTTCTCGTTTTCTCGAAGAATACATACAGTCATACACGCCGGTATTTGAAATGCACATATAATTTATATTACCCAACAAAAATGTAAACGCCAACGACCGTCAAGCCATAAATCGGACAAATGCATATTTCAAAGTGAGAACAGGGAAGAAAATGGCGCAAGCGGCATTTGTCAGTATTGCCTCCCTCAAGTTTGTATTTTTAAACATACTGAAAACTCATCCATCAATGTGATATTCAAATTATTGCCTCTATTTTTCCTCACGAAAGTATACTTAAACCCGTTTGCCACATCACGTTTATATACTCATGTGTAAAGAGACTACTGTGACTAATTTGAGTCTCTCTAAAATGATGCTGTATTCAATTGAAAAGATGATTCAAAGCTGGTTGTCACAAATATTCATATGGTTATATATTAAACACCCGATATCACAATGCTCCCCAAAGCGGTTCAACTTCTGGTTCAAATATTGAACATCCGGTATCACGCTCTCCAAAGTAATCGTAATAGTCTTTTCTGCCATGCGCTTTTTGTATCAGGTGCTCCTTTATCCGTTGGTCGTCGAGATAAATCTCACTTGACTACCACAGACAGCCACGGTGCGGACTCAAATGGTGTGATAACCATCAAGATGCAGCTTGGGCCCCAATCTCGTGATTTTTACTGATTGTTAGTCGTGTATTTATAGTAACATGGAGAATCAATATCGGGATCCGTACGTGACAGCGAATCTATTTTATCTTTGGCTTATGAATGTAAGGTTGTAACTGAAGCTAGCATAGCTCGTGTGCCACATTCGTTTCTTTCTCAAACGAGGCATTTGAAGCATGGATCGGATCATTGTTATGAATTCGGAAGCAAAATTAGATATACTACAAAACAACCAGTCCATTAAATGCGTAACCCGTACATTGAGTGCGGTTCCGGTAGGTGCGTGAAAGTTTTCATTCGGAATAAACGGACTGCCGGATTACACTTTATTCTGGTGTGTCTGGAAAAATCGTTGGGTACAACCGTGGTAAGATATCACCACCGTCGTTACTGCTGCATACCATCAGTATAGTAGTTTTGCGAATGAGTTACAAACTTTGCACCTCCACAGAAAAATCGTTGGGTACATCCGTGGTAAAATATCACCACCATCGTTACTGCTGCATACCATCAGAATAGTAGTTTTGCGAATGAGCTACACACATTGCACCTCCATATTCCTTTGATGTGGGAACTTTGGATGCATGTATTGCACAACCAATTTTTACAAATTCAAATGATGGATGACTCAGTCGCTGTAACAAGCCTACATTTCAGGGCGCGGGAAGCTCTCGGGAAGTGTAGTCTTTAAGTCTGAAGTGCTGAGAAACTGCAAGGGGCTCTCGTGGGACCGGTTCCATTTTGGCGTACTTATCTTTCAGTTATGCGGCCGGAGGGGGTTCACTTTTAGGCTGAACTTCTGGAAACAGACCATGAATGTTTAAAAGTGAGATGAATCATCACTATCACATTGGATCCTGTCCTCATTCCTTATGCTAGCATACTTTAAGTATATTGTGTATCACAAATTTAGATGTCGTCAACATCCGCAATTTGAGATCGAGCAATACGACATTAAATATATAGAAACTACATAGGTCGAACTCAACTGTATGCTGAAGGTATGCCAGTATCTTTTATTACATATGCCTATAGCTAAAGGTGGCCTTACAATTCCATCATCTCGTTTTCTTCTGTATGTTTCCTTTCAGCCGCAGATCTATTTGGGTAACAGCTTCGATTTTAGAAAAATCAGCATAGCCTATGCGTCCTATATTTGTATCAATATATCAATACAACATCCGTGTTTGACTTGCACATTCATCAAATATGAAATGAAATATTGATATGTAAACAGTCCTGTGCATAGCCAAATTATAAATAGAAGAAGCTGTAATATAAATAGTTTATTGTGCATTGATATTCAATTTTGTTTTTCTAAAAACAAATCTCAAATAAATATATCCACACCACATGTCAGACATCGGTATTTATTTTTTAAATCTCCGTACAATGAGTTTTTAAGACATAATCACATTATTATTGGTTGATAGCTTACGCGCGGGAAAAATAAATCCAAAAAACGAGTGCAACTTGCAGTCTTGACTCTGGCACGACTCTCGACAACCTTTTCATAGCCGACTAAATACTAAATATGTAATAAAACAGATAGACAAGGGGTTATACAAATACAGATGTACATACTTTGGTTGAAGATGAATGGTATGTATTAAGTATTTATACAATTAAAACTATAAGATACGTGATACACACTCTACCTCGTTTGCGCAGTGCATTGAGTGTAAGTTATCAATAGTACGTCGTGTGACATGTATTAGGCCTGTACGTGTGTATTGCGGATTACTAGAAGGAGACATCACAGAAAAAATAACAACAGAACGATGACAGTACCGCTTGAGCACGATGGGATTAGTTTCTCACAGATTTTCAATTCGATCGCCGCGGAAAATGCCAAGTAAGCTGTTATGGTGTGCTGCCTGTGACAACTGTACTATGTATCTATTTATCTATGTATCTATGTATATATATGTATAT